CAAGTCGGCGGCGGCGGCAGGACGGATCCGCCATCAGGATCGCAGGAGGCTCATCATGGCCGACAAGCTGGTCGAGGGCGTCGCGCTCTGGGTGTCGGCGGTGGGCGGCGCGCTGGACGGCAGGGACACCACCCACCGCGTGGCGAAGCCACAGCGCCCCGCGCCGAAGGCGCTGCTGGCGCAGCCGGCCGCCAGGCTCTCCTGTGCCTGGCGCGGGGAGCCTGGCAAGCGGTGGTGCAGCCGCTGCCGCTGGGTGGAGCGCGCAGGCGAGTGCCCAGGCACCATCGTGCCAGCGGCGCTCCAGCACAACGCCGAGCTGGCCGCCAGGGGGCTCAGCACGCACGTGCTCGTGCGCATCGAGCCCGAGCGTGACGTCGAGCTGCGCCGCGACATGCCGCTGGTCGCGTGCGCCGCCTGCGGAGCTGTGGGGGCGGCCAGGGCCTCCAGCTTCGCGCCGCCGTGCGGCCACGCGTCGGCCAAGGGGCTGCTGGCCGTGGCGCGCCTGGAGAAGCGGCTCGCCCCAGCGATCTCGGGCAAGGTCGCGGTGGCCATCAGCCCGCTCAGGAGTGAAGGGTGACGGCCAGCTTCCCCTCCTCCTGGCGCGACGGGCCGACGGCCTGAGTGGCCCGTGAGGCCGTCGCGCTGGCGGCGCGCCGAGCCCGAGGGGCCGTGGCGTGCGGGCGCTCGCTGAGAGCGCGAGCCCGTCGCGCGTGGGGCGCGCGGCGAGCGCGAGCGGCGGGTCACACGCGCCGCTTGAGGCTCGTGCATCCTCCTCCTCCTCCTCCTCCTCCTCCTCCCTCCTCCTCCTCCTCCCTCCTCCTCCTCCTCCTCCTTCTCCTCCTCCTCCTCTCCTCCTCCTCCTCCTCCTCCTCCTCCTCCTCCCTCCTCCTCCTCCCCCTCCCCCTCCTCCTCCTCCTCCTCCTCCTCCTCCTCCTCCTCCTCCTCCTCTCCTCTCCTTCCTCCTCCTCCTCCTCCTCCTCCCCTCCTCCTCTCCTCTCCTCCTCCTCCTCCTCCTCCTCTTCCTCCTCCCCTCCTCCTCCTCCTCCTCCTCCTCCTCCTGTCCTCTTTCCTCTCCTCCTCCTCCTCCTCCTCCTCTCCTCTCCTCCTCCTCCTTCCTCCTCCTTCCTCCTCCTCCTCCTCCTCCTCCTCCTCCTCTCCTCCCTCCTCCTCCTCCTCCTCCTCCTCCCCCTTCTCCTCCCCCCCCTCCCTCACCCGGTCTGCACAGCCAAGGCGCTGAGATGAGGAACAGGTTGGGTTCAGAAATGGGTTCGACGTTCCTTTCGGCGGCGCGCCCGGGGGGAAAGCGAGAAGGACAGGGCCTTCTCGGAAGGTGGCGGGCTTCTCAGAAGACCTCGCGCCGTCTGAGAAGTTTGCTGCGTCTTCGGGGGAGGCTTTGAAAACTTCTCAGGAGGCCCGGGGGGTCCGAGCCTGCTGAGACGGCCCGCCCCTTCTCACTTCCCCCCCCGCGCTCGCCGCCAAGTTTGGGTTCAGAAGGGGCTCGATGTTCCTTGGGTCCTTCTGTGGCTGCTCCTCGAGCGCTCCTCGTCCACGCAGGTGCTCTTGGGGCCTCGTTCCTTATTTCAGCAGCCCGCCTGCATCCCACGGCGACGCGGTAGGGGCGACGCCGAGGCTGGAAAGCCGCCGAGAACCAGTGACGACGTCCGAAAACCTCGAGCCTCGAGACGTCGTCCCAGACGCCAGCCCCCCCCCCACCCCCCGAGCGGGTGCCCCCCGAACGTCCCCCTTACTGTGGGGAGGGCGCGCTGCCGCCACCGCCGATTGCCGATTGCCACCGCTACTGTTGCTCGAGTGATCACCGGTGTTGCACCCGATCTCGTGAGTGCTGATTGCTCAGGTCAATGCTGGGCCAGTTGCTCAAGAGACTACGGGGGCTGATTACAGTGGGGGCGTTCGTTCAGGAATGTGCCAAGGAGGCTTCAGATCCTGGAGGATTCCTTATCTGACGAGGGCGGCGGTGATACCCAGGCCCATAGCCAAGCGTCAATTGGTGCTCCACTAGGGTTTCAGACCCTGGGTTCCTTATCCAACGGTTCCTTATCCAGTGCCCTCACCGTAACAGGCGTGACTGGCGTGCCCTGATTTCAGATCCGCCGTATTTGGGTTGATTTCCCGACTCGATATTTTGCCCGATGAACCTGAATCTCGAGGATGTCTCGAGCGGGAGGGAGCTTCGTTCCTGAGCAAACGGAGAGGATGCCTCAGGCGCTCTCTCGTCTGTGAGTGAATCGCGGGGACGTCTCGTGCGGGAACCCCTCCATGTGGGGTCCCCACATCATGCTGGCAATCCGAGGCGGCCATTGGAATACCCCGTAGAGGCACAGAACTTGGCACCTGGGGTCCTGCACCCCGAGGAAGCGTCTCGAGCGGCGGCCTCGCCCCGGAGCAAGCTCAGGGGATTATCTCGGGCGCTCGCCTGGAGGTGACTCACGAGAGGGGTCTCGAGCAGGAGCCCATCCTTACGCCCCCCCCCCCCGCTTCA